TGTCTCAAAATTAAGGTGCTGATATTTTGTGGTTATAAGAGACCATGTTTTTTATTCATTCTGATTAGGCCTATAAGCTACCAGGTGTCTCAAAATTAAGGTGCTGATATTTTGTGGTTATAAGAGACCATGTTTTTTATTCATTCTGATTAGGCCTGTAAGCTACCAGGTGTCTCAAAATTAAGGTGCTTATATTTTGTGGTTATAATAGACCATGTTTTTTATTCATTCTGATTAGGCCTGTAAGCTACCAGGTGTCTCAAAATTAAGGTGCTTATATTTTGTGGTTATAATAGACCATGTTTTTTATTCATTCTGATTAGGCCTATAAGCTACCAGGTGTCTCAAAATTAAGGTGCTGATATTTTGTGGTTATAATAGACCATGTTTTTATTTATTCATAGTTTATTTAACTACTCATTTTCAGTAGCTCAGAGTAGCACCGCAATACATACCAGTACAACAAAGCCGACGTAACCCATGACGCAAGAATTAGTAAAGGAGTGCAATAAGGTTCATTCAGGCTATTATACTGCGTGTATAAGTAATAGAAAATGAACCTTATGGCATGCTCAGTCGAGATTTATGCACGTGTTCTTTAGAGATTCCAATCCATTTTCTTACATTGTTGAACGCGCAGGTGTTTTTTTAGTTACAGGAATACTAAGAAAATTAATCCAAGTTATAATTTGGTTACATTCCAACATAAATGTAAGAAGTCAATAATTGATATTAAATATTTTCTCTGTAAGAAGGAAATCGATTTAAAACTATTGAAAAGAGGCTTGAGGTAAATTTTTAAATTTAATTTGCCGTATTTTAAGAACAACGTCGTGTGTTTTTATACTTGATTAATTTTAAAGACGATTTTTATTTTTTATTAGTTTCAGTAATTTGGTGTAGCAGTGTGCATTCTCCTGCCTGGCTGTCAGTTTGTTGGTCAATTCTTTCTTTCTGTGTAGTCATGCCCCCTTTAATAGTGACGTAATTTCTTCTTTCCTTCAGGGGATTCTGAGCTGCGTTTTCTTGTCAATTGTGAATTTGACTATTGATTGTCGTGTGAGGAAAAGTGAATCCGCTCTTTCGTGAAATGCTGGCTTTTAATTTTCTGCATTTCGAGAATGAATCAATGTTTCTGTGGCTCTCGATCTTGGGTAAGTGTTTGTTTTGAATTGAATTTATAAGAAGATGTGTGCAGAGAAGTAAGCTGAGTTTATCCAAACAAAATTATTCTTAATTTACTGGGAAATAAAGTTACTAAAACAGTGATCAGAATAAACTTCCAAGTTAATAGTGCGAAATATTTCATTCAGTGAGTGAAGTAATTTATTTGTTGCGAATTTAACTGTTTGTGAAATATTAAGTACATCCTGAAACTTCTGGGATGGACGTTGTAGAAATTTGTTTTTGTTTTTTAACCTTTGAGGACAGGACCTTGAGTATTGTTTATTTACTGTAAATTTAGTTAGGAATTTTTGAGAATGTATTTGACTTTGATTTATAATGTGCTCCTCAGTGTAGTTAAGTAATAAATATACATAAATTATGAGCTGAAGAAATTGAAAAACACAACTGCACCAACCAAAAAGCGATAATCCCAAAATCTGCTCAGACTTCGCTCCAGGCGATGAAGTTATTTGCTTATTACTTAATTAACAGTGCTTCCACTCGAAGCGATAATCGTTTTCATTGTGAAAATGAATTAAATATGTTGCATATTGTTTACTGAGCAGTTCACTATTACCTGAAGAACTACATACAAGCCAAAGCATTTTGTAACAATACATACATGTTAGCATTAACAGCGACCCTTGAAAAAGGTTATTGTTTGTGATTTTATGAAATCACAAGTCACTTGTTCAAAGAATGAGATTTTGATGCTTATGTAAATAAGGCAAATTTTCCATCAAAGCTTAAAATCATTCGAAAGACGCTGTCGTAAAATAATATTATATAATACATGTAACACGTATTAAAAATAAAATGTAGTTCGGAAATAGCTGCTGCCCTATGTACCTCAGCGGCAAGGTCTGTCTAGGGTACATAGAAATAAATACCCTATAAAGTGGTGAATAGATGGAATAATAATAATAATAATAATAATGAAATTTTTAGACACGAGAATTGAAAATAGGCCTCCAGGATTAGTATTTATTGGTTCTTGTACGGGCGTAGAAAGCGAACAGAAATTTAAATATTAATTTTAAATGCCTTACTGAAAGATGAAGACATGATTTTATGAAACTATAGCCTGATATTAGATTTTTAGTATTGGCTTGCAAATGGAATTTTACGGACGGAAGTATTAGGCATCACTAAGCTGATTAATCTTTGTAACCACAAGTGGCGTTTGTAACTCAGTCTTAGGACCGTATGGGCCTTGCACGATAGAAAGTAAGGTATCCCGGGTTCGAACACTTGCACAGGTTATTGATGTCCGTCCGCCTGATTTCAGTGGTATCCTTCACAAACCTGCTGCATCATTTTTTAAACATTGTTATATAATCTTAAATTCTTTCAGTCCGTGTAGCGACTCTATATATATATTTTTTTTATTATTATTATTATTATTAGTGTTCTGTCTGACGACAGGTCCATATGAGCAGGATCCTTCCATTGCCCAACACAAGTTATAAATTCGGGCACCGCCGGGAATCGAACCCGAGACCCCAGGATTACAAGACCAGCGTTCTAACCGCTAGACCACCGTGGCTCTATCTATATATATATAGAGCCACGGTGGTAAAATGTAAACTTCAGTGGCTTGTCATCAACGTACATGAAGACGAGATGTCTATGAGAAATTGTCACTTCCACTCAGTTGCTTAAGCAGTCAATTGATACGTGAAGTCTCAATATTGTCATGTGCCCCGTTACGACAACTGAGACTCATTTCCCGGAAAGAAAATAAGGCAGTTGTTTTGAGACGATGTGTTGTTCAATGGGGTCCAGTGTCCAAAACTGTCTGTTTTGGGATATCCCCTCCGCAACATCAGTGGCTCGCCAACCACGTTTTTAGAACCTCTCTTCTTAGCGATGTTGTTATCACCTGCGAAGACAGAATTCTCTCCCACTGGTAGCCCGCATTCTTACTATTTTCCCTCCTTTCTAGTCCGTCCTCCCTATCTTCGCTACGTTCGTTACCCATAATTCTCAAATAACAGAACACCAGTTCTCTGTATCGAATTTTTGTCTCGGTTGTGATCTATAACCTCAATCTGAAGCAACATTCTGTGCATGTTGGATGAATAATGGATCCATTATCGTGAAACCTACTAGCATTCATCAATGTAACAGATTATCAGTGTGTTTAAACCTACATTTCTGAAGCTCCTGTAGTCCAGCATTACACAATGGTTTAATTATTGCATGAAGAGAAGATTTATCTACGTTCTTAGTCGTAAGAACAAACGAATTACATTGTCGCATTCACGTGAAACCTAACCTAAACTAACCTAACCCAACCTAACCTAACCTAACCCAACCTAACCCAACCCAACCTAACCCAACCCAACCTAACCCAACCCAACCTAACCCAACCCAACCTAACCCAACCCAACCTAACCCAACCCAACCTAACCCAACCCAACCTAACCCAACCCATTAAACCTACATTTCTGAAGCTCCTGTAGTCCAGCATTACACAATGGTTTAATTATTGCATGAAGAGCAGATTTATCTACGTTCTTAGTCGTAAGAACAAACGAATTACATTGTCGCATTCACGTGAAACCTAACCTAACCTAACTTTGGTAATCATTATGAAATATAAAACTAGTGGGGCGACGTTCAAAATAAGTTGATGTAGGTGGCTGATTCTTGCAAGGGGAACCCTGAAACGTTAGTTGTCTGACAACTGAATTTGATACCAGATAAAATATACGAATTTTCTAATTCCTGAAGGTCGTGTGGGTAAACTACCTTCAAACTACAGATTGAGAGGGGCTGACGGTACACCAGACGTAGTGAAAAGTGCACTGCTTTTTCTCTTATTTGATGTATTGGAAGTAAAATATAGTTACAAACACTGAAATGTAATATTTGTCATGTACATTAAACGAAAATATTCGAAATCCGTCTGAACTGATTTGTTCTAGGCAAAACGAGGAACTTGTGTCACTGTCACGAGTTTGGTTAGGTTAAGAAATCATCGATTTCTTCTGGGGTCTTAACGCTGTGTATTTTTTTATTTATATATTTATACTTTTTTCGAATACGCGTCTTCGAACTCACCGCCCTGAGAACTTCAAATCCTACTTAAATTTTTTAGTAATTCTCGTTTATTGAATACCTAAAAATCAAACAAATTAAGGACGTCACTGATACATACGCAAATTAAAATATTTTCTATGTGGAGATTTAAGGAGGCTGGTATAGTGACTGACTACGGGCTGGAATATCGGGGTTCGATCCCCAACAGAATTTTCCTTCTAGCTTTTGTCTCATGACCAGCTCTGGGGCCCACCCAGCCTCCTTTCCTCGGGGTAAAGCCGGCCGGGGCGTGATGCTGACCACTCACCCCCATCTAGTGCCGAGGTTAAGAATGAGTACGAGCTATTCTGTCTCCTCCCCAAGCGCCTACGTGGCGTATAGTGGGATGGATTTACCATCTGGAGACTGTATGGAACTTCTGAAAATTTTTACATCGTGTGGAAATAACTAACTGATCGGCCTATCAATTGAATCTCCTGGCGCACATGATGATACTTCGTGCGTCGCTAATTATGAGTTAGATATTCAAATGCTCTTTGTGTATATCATATTAGGCTCGATACATACTATTAATGTGCGAGTTCTATATAAATTTGCATAATTTCTGTGCTCCTATTACAATTACTGGCGTGGTTTATACTTCGAGTCCCTGAGTCCGCCCCTGCGTGTAATTCTCAATAATAATACAGGCGTTGTATAAGAAGGACACGTGATCCAATTTGGAATCATGCTGTTCTAAATGTAGAAATTTTCTGGATTATTCTTTGTGGTAAAACTTATTAGCTACTCTCCTGATACGTGATTTTATAATTTTAATGCCTTCGTCTACGCTCGAATTTCTTCGGAGCTTTATTATTAGTGTGTTTTTAAGAAATTTGGTTTTGAAATTTTTGAAAACTGAAGACAGAATACGTGAAGTCCCGATGCATCACCAAAGAAAGATATTTCAAAGAAAATTAGTTGAGTTTGTTATTTTAATGTGTCATATTTCGTTCAAAAACGTGTTAAATTTTATTCAATTTCTGAATTTGCCTTGAATATGAAATTGTTTACGTGAGCCTTCAAATTTAATTCGAGCCCACGTAGTCTTACGCTTTGAGTTTGTCAAGTATGCAGGACTATAAATTTATATTAAAGGAGGCTGTATGTTATTTGGCATTAATATTTACAAAACCAAGCTGACATGTAACTCCATGTTTTCACTGTTTACGAGGTGCGATCGGAAAGTTTCAAGACTGTGCCTATAAAAACCCGTACACTTATCTCAGGTATTAAATTCATCCATCACCCTCGACGTAGTTCCCCTGGGAGTTAACACAACGATCCCAGCCCCGCTGCCAAGCCTGGAAGCATCCCTGGAAATCTTTCTTTGTCAGCCTGTCAAGCACCATCTGCGATTCTGCCTGAATCTCTTCTATCGTCTCAAATCTCCTTCCCTTTAGCTGAATTGTCATCTTTGGGAAGAGGAAGAAGTCACACGGAGCTTAGAAAGGAAGTTGGAGTCGGTTCTTGCAAGATCTTTGAGCTCCTCACAAACGAGAAGTC